AGTCGGTGCCTGCCCAGCGCCACACTGCAGGACAGAGTAGGGCTGCCACTGGGTTTCTGAGACAGCAACTCTTGATGGGAGTGGTTTTGAACTGCTGACTTGTGGTTAGCAGTCCAACCCCACCAGCTGAAAAATGCTTGTCTTAGGAAACCCTACAATGCATTAGATGACCTTGGTCAATTAGGTTTAGGAAAGTAAAAAGAAAAAGTGCTATCTCTTTGGAAGCCAGAACTTAATGGGGCTGCCTTGTTTCTCTGGGGCTTTCTATCATTTGCCGTAGTGGAAAATACTTGAGTTTTCCTTCTGACAGGTTTCCACCTTACACAGGTTCTGACTTGTTTGTTTTAAGCAGTGCCTTAAGCAACTCCATTTTTAGGATTGGTCATTTGCTTTTTTTTTTTTCTTAAACCCTGCCATTTTAACTCCCCAACTTGACATAACTCCCACATTCCGTAACCATTTCTGGCAGGCATTCTTAACTCTGCTCTACATTAAAGCTATAAAAATATATCACATGACCAAAAAGTATATCTCTGGAGCCTTGTGCAGAAGAACTCTCTTGCTCTATAACTTGGATTTTGTGTGTGTGTGTCGAGGGGGCGGGGGAGGGTTACACTTAAGTGTTTTTGGTTTTGTGTGTTTATCAAAGTTATATTTATAAACAAGAGTTTCTCATTCAACCTCCACTCTGAGCCAGATGTGTCCTTCTTAACCGCATCCCCAGCACTCACACTGCGGGCCAGTAGTATATAAGGTCAGTGGTGATCATCAAGAAGCGTAATCAGACATTGCCAAATATCCCCTATGACCAGAGACCCATTGCTGTTGAGTTGATTCCATAGGACAGTGGAATTGCCCCACAGGGTTTCCAACTCATGTTTGCAGAAACATTGTCACCTCATTTCTCCCTCAGAGCAGCTGGTGAGTTCAAATTGAGGACCTTGTAGTCACCAGCTAAGCATGGTGGTGATCTCTTTTTAGAAGGATCAATACCACCCCAGTCCCAAGGAGTTGGGGATTGATGATTCTCCAAATGTCCAATTCTTCCATGATGCTCTTCAGCTCCATTTTCTCCCCACTCCTTTCTTGAGCATTGAGGTCGTTAGTTTATTGTGCCCACCTGGCCAATAAACACATGTGGCATTAATTGAAGGGCGAGAGATAAATGGCTTGGCGAGCCTCACCTTTTTCTCTCTTGCTCTCTGATCATAGGATGAGTGTGAGGCTGCCTTGCTTGTTCTGTGCCTCCATTTGCAAATTGTACTATCTGTGGGACACCTAACCCGTGAACTGTGTCCCTGTAACTTGAGGTTCCTTCAAGACCTGCTTCACCACGCAATTGGAATTCACATCTCTTGAGCTGGGGACTGTCAGGCCCTGTCATCTGGCTGACTGTTGGTGACCTGCCTTGCTGTTTGCTGCCTGTGCCCAGATAGCCTGAATTGCTCTACAGAGGACTACCCGGCGGGCCTCAAGACTTCAAGGACTGCCAGTGTCTCACAACTGTCTCACGGGAGTGAGTTGCACTGAGCCATTTGTACTGCTTTATAATTGTTTATTTCTTATGTTACATATCGATCTGTATAAATATATATAAAATTATTAGCAATCTGGTTTTGTCTCTCTAGAGAACCCTGTCTAACACATGTCTATTCCCTCACATTCCTGGGTTCTGCAGTGTCCCCCAGAAATGTTGAGGCAATGACCCAAACGGTGGGTGCTGTTGGGTCCCAAATCCAAAGATCAGGCAGTAGTGAGCCAGATTCTGGGTCCAGAGGACAAGCTTCACTCCTGGCTCTTACCAGTGATGCGACCCCACCTCCTGCTTCTCATCACACGTCACCATCATCGAGCTGATGCTGATGCATAGTGACCCTGTTGGACGGGGTAGAACTGCCTGTGAGTTTTCAAGATTAACTCTACAAGAGTGCAACACCCCATCTTGCTCTCACAGGGGTGGTTATGAACTGCTGACCTTGTGATTAGCAGCCCAGCGTGTAACCACAGCACCACCAGGGTACCTTTCCTGCTTCCCCAAGGGTTTAATTTATAGACAGCAGGATCCCGTTGCAGGGAAGTAGTTAGCAATTCACCTGTTAGCAATTACAGATGAATCCTATCAGGATTGCCCCCACCTTCTTATCAAACCTATGCATGGAAAGATCCTTTGGTGGGAGTTACATTGAATATAAATAATGCAATCAAATTAGCATATAACTTTTCACCACCCCAACAGCTTTATTGCCATGTAATTTGCATATCATATAATTCAATCATATCAAGAAGAGTTGTACAATCATCACCTCAGTCAGATTAAGAACATTTTCTTCAATTTTATACTCACCATAATTTAGCCTCCCATTTCCCCCAACCTCTCCTACCATACCCCCAAAGAACCATTAATCCAGTTACTGTCTATAGACTTACCTATCCTGGATTTCATATACAGAAAGACAATTTAATAAAACTAACATGAATATGAAAACTTCAATTGAAAAGAAAGAAAACATTAAAAAGTAAAATGTAAATGGATCATCAGGAAGATCAAATGATAGGGCGCTAAATTTTAAATGCATCTACAACAATCCACTTTACAATGCATTTTGCATGCTAGCAAGGCTATTCACATCCCTGATCTCATGGTCAGAAGGTATTCACCAGGGACTTAATCCACGTGTTATTTCCCCCATCACTTTTTTTTAAACTGAAACAGCTTTAAAATGGGTCAAAAGGGAAATCAAATGATAAGCGATTACGTTTTGACTTAACTACATCTACCATAATCAACTTTACAATGATATCTGTCTGATAACATGGCTATTTTTTTTAACTTTATTTAAAATCATTTTATTAGGGGCTCATACAACTCTTATCACAATCCACACATACATCAATTGTAACACGGCTATTCACATCCCTGTGATCAGAGGGGATTCACCAGGGACTAAACCCATGTGTGGACCCTGCAAATGGATTTTGGACTTCCACTGTCATCCATGGCCTTCTGCAAACCAGGTGTCACAATTTAAGATCTAATGCTATTCCCTCCTTTATGTTATTTACGCTCCTTGGATCACACAGGCTGGTGTGCTCCTTCCACGTGGACTCAGTTGACTCCTCACTTAGATGGCTGCTTGTTTGAATACAAGCCTTTAAGATCCCTATTCTTTCTGATAGCTGGACACCATCTGGTTTCTTCACCACACTTTGCTAAAGCACCCATATCTTCAATGATCTCTTCGTGAGGTCAAGCATCAGACACAGCCATGTCATAAGAACTAATTGTCCTTCAGAGTTAAACCCATCACCCCTTAAATAAATCCCAAGTATAATAATCTGTTCTCCACCTCTGGATTATTTCTTATTTATGCCCATATTACCTGGGGTCTCTGGCAAGATGGTTCCAGTAGGTATTGGGCTCCTACTAATCTTAATCAGCCAGGCCACTGCAGCAGTATCT